GAATACTAGACATTATGTTTGACTTGTAAGCAAAAGCACATCTTTAAATGAGTTTTGCAGGTTGAATTAGAGTCTTTTATTTAATGTCTTTCAACATTATTAACACAGCTTAATGACCATTCCAATAGGTTTGGTATAATTATACCAATAATAATATCAAGCTCTGTTCACAGCATTTGTAGTTATGATAAAATCTAATAAAACAAAAACAGACATTACTATTATATCGCTGAGGGACTGTAAAAATTTGATTCTGTCAGCAATAGCTGTAATAAACCTTGACTTTGTCTCAAAGAAAGTAAAAACACATAAATAGTCCAAACATTTACACATTCAGTCAAAACTCAAAATATGTTTTCACCTTCCTGGCTGGAAGAACCATCTAATCACAATATAACAAACCTTTAAAGGGGCTCACACCATAATGTGAGCGGCCTCATGACAACAGCACACATATTGCAGTGTTCTGACTTTACTTGCTGCCAATCACACCTGTAACATGATTGATCAGGACATACTGTATACAGGTTATGTGTTCATCATGGTTCATCCACAGCCCGATGGCCTCTGGGAATTAAGAAAAGTACAGTCAGGCAAGGCAGCTGCAGTTCAAGAAGAGCACTGGACTCACCCACACCTAGCCAGGGTCTCAGTCACACAAAGAACATCCAAGTTTCAGGAAGTAAAGAAATCCTTTAAAATAAAAGTCTTATTTGCCAGCGATCTAGCTTTAACCAGGCCAATCTTGATAGGAGCCGGCAAGCCAGCCACCCTGGAGGCACGCTTCAGTGGCCGTAGATTCGATGGGTTAATCCCACGTTGGCACAGGCTGGCAGTCGAAACACACTGAATCAATGAGGTTGAGGTAAAGCTCGTCAAGGAGGCCTTTAGCCTTACCAGCTGTCCATCTTGCCTGCCTGGATGTCTCTGCCTCCTCCTCCTGAATGGGAGAGCTGGAATGCGGCAAAGGCAAGCAGGTATTCCTGATAAAAACAGAGCTAGAGACTTGTGCCTGTGACAATCAAACTGCACTAAGTTTGAAACATCCAATCGAAGATTCAGAAGACTTGGTGGTCATACGGCAATAGAGAGTCTCCATTCTGGATAAAAAAAATGAACAATACAACACAAAAACAAACAGAATTAGGAGCGGTAGACGGCAAGCCGTACACACTGGTGCCATCCTGTCCTGTCCACTTTCTGTGAAGCAATTTGCAAACTTATGTTGGGGCTGGGGTGTGGTAATGTATGGCCAGGTGTATGGTTTTCGGACCAACACCTACAGCTCCAAAACAAATGTGGGTCCTATTTCCCAACTGCCCTTGTTATCAAATAAAAAAAAAACAAGACAACAGTAGTGGACTTATTCCTAACAGCACAAAATAGACACGACTGAATATACACTCAAAATTATCCATGCACAATCTGGTACAACTATATCAACAGATAACTTTCCAGATACAATATATTCAGACTTCACATTAGAAGCAACTCAAACTCACTTCAAGATGCCGGAATTCCTGTTCAGGCTGGAGTAAATACCCTGAACTCGTAGACAGTGTTGTCTCCCCTCTGAACAAGCCAAATTCACAATGTTGTCAAATAACACAGAACTACAACCTGTAACCCATACAGACTTCATATAATTTCTGTCAGACACTTACGCCGTCACGGAGCTTTGTATTTCCCTGCGTTTCTCTCTTTTTCTCCTTCTCGGTCTCTGTTTCTCTTTTTTTCCCATGGGACACTCGCCTGTCACACAGTGGTGACGTCACAACAGATGCGCCCTCATACAGCTGTGGGTGAGCACTGCATGTATACAACTATCATAGCAACACCCACTGGGCGCTTACTAAACAACCCCTTACTGCACCAGGGAGAGTTTCAGTTATTCCCCTTAGGAAACTGTAATTGTATTACTTGACCCGGCTACACTTAATTACTGGGAGATCCTGATATTAAAGAGTTATAGTAGTCCAGCCTGGAAGTAACAAATGCATGGTAGGTAAAAGAAGACAGTTCAAGAGACTTGGTTTATGTGTGATTCAAAGGACATATCTTGATCAAAAATGACTCCAAGGTTCCTCACAGTTCTGGAAAGAGCTATGTCATCTAAAGTAACTATATGATTAGACAGTAGATTTCTAAGGTTTTCAGGCCCAAGCACAATGACTTCAGTTTTGTCAGAGTTTAGAAGTAAGAAATTACAGGTCATCCAGGCGTTTATGTCTTTAAGACATGCTTGAAGTTTGACCAACTGATTTGAATAATCTGGGTTCATAGATAAATATAACTGAGTATCATCTGCATATCAATGGAAATTTATGCTGTGCTTCCTGATAATATTGCCTAAAGGGAGCATGTATAAAGTGAGGATACAGTGCCTTGCGAAAGTATTCGGCCCCCTTGAACTTTGCGACCTTTTGCCACATTTCAGGCTTCAAACATAAAGATATAAAACTGTAATTTTTTGTGAAGAATCAACAACAAGTGGGACACAATCATGAAGTGGAACGAAATTTATTGGATATTTCAAACTTTTTTAACAAATAAAAAAACTGAAAAATTGGGCGTGCAAAATTATTCAGCCCCCTTAAGTTAATACTTTGTAGCGCCACCTTTTGCTGCGATTACAGCTGTAAGTCACTTGGGGTATGTCTCTATCAGTTTTGCACATCAAGAGACTTAAATTTTGCCCATTCCTCCTTGCAAAACAGCTCGAGCTCAGTGAGGTTGGATAGAGAGCGTTTGTGAACAGCAGTTTTCAGTTCTTTCCACAGATTCTCGAGTGGATTCAGGTCTGGACTTTGACTTGGCCATTCTAACACCTGGATATGTTTAGTTTTGAACCATTCCATTGTAGATTTTGCTTTATGTTTTGGATCATTGTCTTGTTGGAAGACAAATCTCCGTCCCAGTCTCAGATCTTTTGCAGACTCCATCAGGTTTCCTTCCAAAATGGTCCTGTATTTGGCTCCATCCATCTTCCCATCAATTTTAACCACCTTCCCTGTCCCTGCTGAAGAAAAGCAGGCCCAAACCATGATGCTGCCACCACCATGTTTGACAATGGGGATGGTGTGTTCAGGGTGATGAGCTGTGTTGCTTTTACGCCAAACATAACATTTTGCATTGTTGCCAAAAAGTTCGATTTTGGTTTCATCTGACCAGAGCACCTTCTTCCACATGTTTGGTGTGTCTCCCAGGTGGCTTGTGGCAAACTTTAAAACTGAAAAATTGGGCGTGCAAAATTATTCAGCCCCTTTACTTTCAGTGCAGCAAACTCTCTCCAGAAGTTCAGTGAGGATCTCTGAATGATCCAATGTTGACCTAAATGACTAATAAATACAAATAAACATATCCAGGTGTTAGAATGGCCAAGTCAAAGTCCAGACCTGAATCCAATCGAGAATCTGTGGAAAGAACTGACAACTGCTGTTCACAAACGCTCTCCATCCAACCTCACTGAGCTCGAGCTGTTTTGCAAGGAGGCATGGGCAAAAATTTCAGTCTCTCGATGTGCAAAACTGATAGAGACATACCCCAAGTGACTTACAGCTGTAATCGCAGCAAAAGGTGGCGCTACAACGTATTAACTTAAGGGGGTTGAATAATTTTGCACGCCCAATTTTTCAGTTTTTTTATTTGTTAAAAAAGTTTGAAATATCCAATAAATTTCGTTCCACTTCATGATTGTGTCCCACTTGTTGTTGATTCTTCACAAAAAATTACAGTTTTATATCTTTATGTTTGAAGCCTGAAATGTGGCAAAAGGTCGCAAAGTTCAAGGGGGCCGAATACTTTCGCAAGGCACTGTAACTGGACCTAACACAGAGCCCTGTGGAATGCCATGACTAACTTCAGTCTGTGTGGCAGATACATCATTAACATGAACAAATTGAAATCTTTCTGATAGGTAAGATTTGAACCAACTTTGTGCAGTTCCTTTAATCCCAATAACATGTTCAAGTTTCTGCAGTAAGATTCTCTGATCAATGGTGTCAAAAGCAGCACTGAGATCTAAGAGGACAAGTATGGAAATGAATCCTTTGTCTAAGACTAGGAGAGGATCGTTGGTGACTTTCACCAATGCAGTTTCTGTACTATGATGGACTCTAAATACTGAAAATTCTCAAACAAATCATTCTTGTGTAAGTGGTCACACAAACTGCTTTGCAACAGCCTTTTCCAGAATTTTAGAAATAAAGGGGAGATTGGATATTGGTCTATAATTAGCCAGAACACCTGGGTCAAGAGTAGGCTTTTTGAGTAGAGGTTTATTTACTGCAACTTTAAAAGCCTGTGGAACATAGCCTGTTAATAGAGAGAGGTTAATCAGATCTAATATGGATGTGTTTATTAGGGGAAAGACTTGTTTGTGCACTTTAATAAGTTGTAGTCACAGAATATTTTTTCTCTGTATTTACTGGCATTGTAGTAAATACCAAAGTAACTTTGAGATAGTTTTAGAGGATTTATGTGGTATTCTTGCCCCATATAATTGTTTTGGTGAGAAGTTTGAGCATGTGAAAAGCAAGGAAAATGACAGAACCTGCTAAAAGAGGACATATATTTGATTTAATGTGTTAGGACAGTGCAGAGTTATAGGATACCCTCTGGCGGTTTGCAGAGAAGAACAGTAGGACTCTACAACCAGAATGATAGAAGCCTTTTATGAAAGGACAGCAGCAGCAAAAGTAAGGCATAAATGTGCTAAGGAGGTTCAGAAGGAGTGAGAGCAAGCATCTGGTCAAGCCGTGAAATGGTCCAGCATGCAGACCCTGAGATCCATAAAAGAAGCAAATGTGGCCAATAAACTGAGCCCCGGGGTGTACTGAAACACAAAGGTTAATGAGCAGAGAAATCTTTGCAGGAGGGCTGATGAGAGAGGAGAGAGGGGAGATGGCTGCATACTGTACGTACTTGTAATATGTATCCTAACTAGTGGGAAATTCAGCCCATTGCACCTTTTTTATTGATTTTCAAACATAACTCTCACACACTCAGCCCCAAAAAGTTAACAGGGTAGATTTAATCTGTGAAGAGATTGATTTGAAAAGCAATTTCAGTTTAGTTCAATCAAAAAAAAGATTCAATAATGCTCTCTAACAGCTTTAGAGATTTTTTGAGATTACATGATTGCAATGCACAACAATTTATACAGGCTGTCTTGTTCAGGACCTATCTATTCTGATGTAAACATGCCTGAATTACATTTTCCTTGTCATTCAGACTTCAAGCTAAATTCAATTTTGCACTGCTTGAAAGCAGCATCAGTAACAAAGAAGGTTGTCTCAGAGGTTTGCGTACTGCAACTAAAACAACCTCATTGCCCTTTTTTCTCCTCTGTACACCATAAAACCAAGGACTGATTTTCAAAGCAAAAATAAGAAAAGCAAAAACAAACACACCATGCCGCCTGGCAAGATACACAGCCTCTCTCATCCTTGTGCGAAGGTTCCCCATCAGAAGCAGTTGCCAGATTGCTAGAGCATGAAGCACTAACAGCTTTGCCCAAGGCTAACTTCAACCTTTTCCAGTGGAATGGAATAGATGTCTGGTGAATTTCTCATTGTTTATAGTCTCATTTCATAAAGAGATTAAGAGTGAGTCTCTTGCGTGGTGAAACAAGGGAAAACCAGGGAAGTGAGAAGATCATTTACTTCTCTGACAAAATGAGCTTTCATCTTAAGCGAAGCTGTCCATGATTTAAGGGTTGAATTTAGCCAGAAGTAAGGTGTAATACAGATTAATTGTACTTTCTACATTTTCTCACTGTCGGAAAGTGTTAGAGTTTAGGTTTTTTCTGTGTTAGTAATAAGAGGGAAACTATAGAGCAGGTTACAGTCACAGTTAACTATATTTCACAATGACTGCTCATAAGACTACACAGACTTGGGAAAGAATATGAATACAGTAGCTATGAGTCTGAATGTCTTATTTAATACAGTTCCCTGTTTTTCTTTGTGATGAAAGCAGTTCATAGTTCAAAACCAGCCACACCCATGTCAGAATTAAATATCAAATATTAACTTAATAAAGCAAACCTTTCTCAAGAAAATGTATGTATGCTTGCTGCTGAAAAAGTTCAGCTAAAACATTTGAAATCATTGACATGATGGAGTTAAACTGGCAGCCAAAACACAAATACTGAAAGTATGTAGCTGGCTGTTAAAATGGAAGTGTGGAAAGAAGTGTGAAGTTTTTGCTTAACTATTAACACTGAATAAAGTTGAAGGTTATATTTGACTAAGTGCTGAGTGAAGGCACAGTATCAGATCAAATTTAAGTGCTAAGATTTGACCTAAAGTTCAATCAATTTGTTAAAGAGGTAGCCCTGAAAGAAATCACTGCCAGTTTAAGTGCTTAAACTGAAGGACAATGTCATTTAAAGTGTCGCTAAGTTTCTGCTCACTTGTGCAGATGTGGGAAAGAATTTGAAGAGTTATCAATCTGGATGCCTTATATAATATACTTTTCCATCTGAAAATGTGCCGCCTTTCTGTGTGCTGAAAGCAGTCATTATTTTCTGACCATTTACACAGATTCCACAGTTAAGTATGAATATATTATGACCACAGTAATATCATGTATGCAGAGGTCACCAGATATTAGTCAACTAATTGCAGATAGAGTAGCTTTAAGAGCTTGCTAGATGACAGCTTTTGTGTAGCCTGAGTGTCTTTTATCGAGACTGTTCTGTAAAAAAAAAACAAGCCCATACTGTATGGTTTTTATGCCG